ACATAAAAGGGGAAGTAGAAGAAATTTGCCTCGTCGTCCATTTGTCAAATAGAATGCAAACATGGGAGAGGAGGACACACGGGGGAAAGCTGGGTGAATTGTCCAACTACACAGTCTCTGGGAGAGAGCTTGGGTAAGATGTCCGAAGGCACGCGCATCAACCGTTGCCCTTGCTAGCTACCTCGGGTGTGACACGATAACTCGTGGCTGCTTGGCTCGGGAGGCGGCGATGGCCGATGGCAGAGTCGATGTGGTTGCAAACAAGCCAGGGTCAAGCATGGTTGCTGACATCCGATTCCCTGGTGGTGGGACGATGACATGGTGGCGGGAAGGAGATGGGTCATTTCTCGGAGGCAGCTTGGACATAGCTTGGCATTGAGAGAGGTAGGCAACAGTGTCGTGGGCTCGGCAGAGGTTTCCGTGCCACCGGACTCCCGGATATGATGAGGATGGGCTTGGTGGCGAGGGGGCGGGGTAGTCGGCGAGTGGCTGGAGGGGGCATGGAGACGGGAATCACTGTGGCGATTGCAACCAGAAATGTCCTCTCGCCGAATTCGGACCGATTGGGGTGGGTTTGGGGCTTTGTCGACTTGCCCCTATCTTTTGCGAAGGGGACTTTTTTGGGGTTTGGCCTCATAACTTTTTTTACTTAAAGGTCTTTTGGAGATGAGTTAGACATACTTAAATCCTAAGAAATGGTAGTGTTTTTTCAAAGTTTAGGACTTTTTAGCGAGATGCTCCAAGTTACACTATGTTTGGCTTGTTCTTGTACACATTGGCCTATTGGGAGAGTGCAAGTTGGTAGTAATATGTCCGTAATTTCTGAAATCCACCTTCCCTTTTCTTCCTTGTTGTTTCATCTAGAGAGTGGATTTTGTCTAATGCATGGGAGGTCCCGTACATGGATTAGTCCATTGATTGTTCTGGGTGGGCCCTGTCATGCAATTTTTGGCGGTGATGGCATGCTCCACCCATCTAACCTCCCATGCTTTTATTTTAGCTTTTAAATTTGAATCTATTGTATCTTTTGAATTAAAGGTCCAATGTATGTTTCATTTGCATGTTTGTGTTACTTGTGATGAGGGCTTTCAAATAAGACCACTCTTGAATACATTTTGACGAGTTTTAAAATTTTACAAATTTCAAATACTAAAACTTGAAACTCAAACCTTAAACCCAAACCCAAGCCCTAAACCCTAAACCCTAAACAGTGAACTCTAAACCCTCAAAGGGAATGAAACTTGGTAAAATTAAATATTATGGCTATCATGTTTTAATATTTGGAACTTAGTACAATTTTAGAAGTTGTAGAAATGTATTCAAGAGGGGTCTTGTTCGAAAGTTCTCATCGCAAAGAACACAAATATGCAAACGAAGCTTAATTTGAACTTTCGGTTCAAAAGATAAAATAGATTCAAATTTGAAAGCTAAGGTAAAAAAACATGGGTGGAGCATATGTAGTATTGCCCTATCTCCACCGTTGAATCACGAAAATGAAATTACCAAAATAGTTAGATTGTACTGTAAAAGGACTCAAATGATAAGATGTGTGCATGCATTCAAAAGATAAACCATGTGACTCTTCCTGTTTTTGATATTCAAATGGTTGTTATTATTTGAGAGGAGATTGCAGGCGGCAATTGATCAAAAGAAATCAATCGATTGCCAAAGTGTCAACTAGCATATCTGTATATAATCAAGTGTTGAGATATAAGTGGACACTCCCAATTCTGAAATAACAAAGATATATAGGAGTAGTTGTTGTGCATGCATGTGGGCTAGAAAGAAGCGGCAAATCCTTATTAAGCAGCTGCTGGTTTGATCATGTTGATGAACTCGTCCCTGAGTTGCCTCCGCAGGATCTTGCCGGAAACCGACTTGGGGATGGCGTCCACGAGGTGCAGCATCCGGAGCTTCTTGTACGAGGCCACGCGCGACGCCACGTACGCCATGATGTCTGCCTCGCTCTCCGCCGCGCCACTCCGCCGCACCACGCACGATACCGGGATCTCACCAGCCTCCTCGTCCGGCAGTCTGCAACAAATGACACACGAGCTCAATGACATGTTTTTGCCGAAGCAGACGTAGATGCATGGCTACTCACCCGAAGACGGCTGCATCTTCGACGGAAGGATGGGACAGGAGTATGGCCTCCAGCTCCGCAGGAGCAACCTGAAAACCCTTGTACTTGATGAGCTCCTTGATCCGGTCGACGATGAAGACGTCGCCGTCGTCGTCGATGTAGCCGATGTCCCCGGTGTGCAGCCAGCCCTTGGCGTCGATGGTGCGCTCCGTCTCCTCTTTCTTCCTGTAGTAGCCCTGCATCACGCACTGGCTCCGGACGCACAGCTCCCCCGGCGTGTTCTTTGCCAGGGACCGCCCGGTGTCGGGGTCCACGAACTTCACCTCCAGGTTGGGCAGGATGAATCCCACCGAGTTCCTCTTGGCGATGTGCCCCTTCTCCGGGTCGTCGCCGGCGTGCGTCAGCGTGATGCAGCTGTGCTCGGTCAGCCCGTACGCCTCCTCCACCTGCACGCCGGGGAACTTCCTCTGGAAGGCCGCCAGGAGGTCCGGTGCGAGCGGCGCCGCCGCGGTCATCACGGACTTGAGGGCCAGTCCGGATAGGTCGAACTCGTCGGCGATGGGGTTCTTGACCATGGCCAGCATCACCGGCGGCACCAAGGGCGCGAACATCACCCGGTGCGCAACCAGCGCGCCCAGGAACGTCCGCAGGTCGAACCGGTCCATCACCACCACCGTGCCCTTGTGCCGCAGAGTCGCGCAGCAGATGCCGGTGATGCCGTAGATGTGGAAGAACGGCATGAGCCCCAGCGTCACCACCTGACCCAGCAGCTCCGTCCCGACGGCGAACATCGACGAGCAGAGGTTGGACACCAGGTTGCGGTGGCTCAGCATCACGCCTTTGGAGACCCCGGTTGTGCCGGACGAGTACGGCAGCGCGCACAGGTCGGACTGCTGCACCGGTTCCAGCGGAACCACCGGCGGACCGGTGCGGTCCGCCGCGCCGAGGAGCTCGTCCCAGCTTATCGCGCCGGCCATGAGCCCCTGTTCGCCGATACCGATGACCGGCACGCCCACGTCCTTCACCTTGTCGTAAGCGACCTCGTTGGCGACCACAAGCCTGGCCTCGGAGTCCTCCACCTGTTTCCTGATCTCGGCGGCGAGGGAGCGGGGGTTCACGCCGGAGAAGACCGCCCCGGCGGCCATCACACCGAGGGACACCACGGGGTAGACGGCGAGGTTCGGGAGCGCGACCACCACGACGTGGCCCTTCCGGATGCCCACGGATCGCAGAGCCCTGGCGAACCGCGCGACGTCACGGGCCACCTCGCCGTAGGTGTAGGACCGGCCGCCGGGAGCGGCCTCCACAAGGGCGACCTTGTCGGCGTAGGCCTCTGCGCCCGCCAGCACGAAGTCCGGCACGGTGACGCCATCCGGCACGGCCACTGGCGGGAACCTGCTCCGAAAGATGTGCTCCTGCTCCCCCTCCTCCTCCATGACGGCGATGGCCGCGTCACCCATGCTGCGCTGGCGGTTGTGAGAGGCTTGGTGGGCGGTGGTGAGTTGGAAGGCTGCGGCTTTGCTTGAATTTGTAGAGATGAGGGGTTTTGAGGAGGAGTGGCGAGAGGAAGACGAGGGCATGCTCGTGGCGGTGACACAGTTCTTGTGTGTTGCCAAGACAAGTGGTATGTAGGTAAGGTTTGGTTGAGTCATGGCCTTTTGGCTTACAAAGAGTGTGTCCAATCCAGTCCATTATCATCATGCATATGGAAGCACACAAGAACCTTCACTCTGGGATTTATTTGTGTTAAACTTCTTTGACTTTAAATCTCTCTGTATAAGAGCGGCCCTAGAGTTTGTACATGCATACGGTGTGTGCGTCGAGTTTTTTTATTAAAAAAACATTCCTCTAAATTTTATTGATCTCCAAAAATTCTTATTTGGACGTCCGAACTGAGGTGCATGAAATGGATTTGGTATGGGAAATGTTTGACAACGAAGCGTCGGCAGAACTTTGCGCCGGATACGTGCGTGACGTGTGATTCCCTTTCGATCAAGGGCTCTTTATTAGGCTGGTCATAGCGGAGAGTAACTTAGACTAGTAACATGTATATGTTACTAGTCTATGTTACTACCTTCATAGTGGGTAGTATCATATATGTGGTAACATAGATGTCTTCATTTATTGCTTTGTAGACTCATTTTGCATTGGGAAGCGCTATGTGATGGTAACATATTATGTTACTCTATTTGCCTCTCTCTTCATTAACTAATTGCCACCTCATCACTTTTGCTTGTGTGGCATCTAAGTTACTACCTATGTTACTCCCACTATGACCAGCCTTACGCCAGGTCACTCGTCCACACGACCCCACCCGCGTGCAGTTAGCTTCTTATCCAGCTCTCAACCGTTCTTCTTTCTCCTGCAGCTTTTTCTCTCTCTCCATGTGCGCTTGAGGCATGTCCCCTACAAAGCACATCGCCTAGA